AAAAAAAAAAAAAAAAGAACCCACCATGCTTAGTTCTATACATGTATACAAGTTTAGGAAGTTAAATTAGACAAGAGTGGTAGAAAAACCAGGAGTGGTTGACCAGGATCTTGTAGCTCAGCCTTTCTTAGTAGATCTCCCAGTGACTTATCTCTCCCATGCCCAGCTCCCTTCATTTCATAGGCTTTCTCAGGAACTGGCAGTATTATCCTCTTCCCTGCTTTGGGGCTTCACTGCCATGACAAAGGGTGCTTGCGATTCGCTACCCCAGTTCCTAACAGCAGAGCTGTGTATTCAGGGGCATACTGACTGTAAAAGACTGTTAAAAAGGATCCCGGGGCGGCGCCTGTGGCTCAAAGGAGTACCGTGCCGGACCCACATACCACCCGGAGGTGGCGGGTTCAAATTCGCCCGGCCAAAAACTACAAAAAAAAAAAAACCCTGAACAAGATTAATGTATCCGAGGAACAAAATGGCAGTCAAGTTTAAGATAAAATGTATTACGTAGTGGCAGAAGAAAGTGACTATCTTTTAAGATTTGCAAATGGCAAAAAGTTAAAGAGTTCTCTGCAAGTTAGTAAAATCGCTTGAGATCTGCAAAGGATTTAAGAACCCATCACCATTTCATTGAATAGTGTGAGCCAAGCGCATTATGTGTGTTTCATTTAACCCTCATCCCGTAAGAATCAGTATCCCTATCTTTGGGATGAGGAAACTGATTAAATAACTTGCTCAACATTCTAATACAAAGTAGATGTGCGTAGTAGGATATGGTAATTGTAATTCTGTATCCATTTCGTTAAAGCAATTGTGTAGAATCATGTTAAGGAAGAGATGGAGTGCGGTGATTTTTTTTTTTTGTTAGTGCCATTCAGCATTAACACAGTGCGGTGGAAAGTTCAGAAAAGATATAAAACTGCCCGCCAGCGTTACCTAAAAGTGTTTTCCGTTTTACCAGTATCAAGTGGGGGCCAATTCAGCATGTAGACTGAAAACCACCTGTGATTCTAGTATCTGAGTCACCCAGATATTTTGAGGGGATGCAGACTTTTGAGTTTTAACACGTTGGCCCTTGTTTCTTCAGTAAAGGTAAACATTTAGCATTAGAAAAGTTCCCTGTTTCTCAAAGCGCGGGTACCCCAGCAGCAGGTGTGCACTTGGCTATCAGGAGGCCCTCTTAATAGTCAGGCCGAGGCTGTGAGGGGTTTGTGGAGTGGATTTGGGGGTTGGTCAGGCCAGGGGTCAGACCGTTCAGGATTCCAACCCTCCCCGGCACCTTAGCTGCCATACGATAAATAGCGATGTCTGGAGTAGATGCCGGGTGGTCGTGGGGATCCCATTAGGCGAGGCGTGTGGAGTCCGAGCTTTCCTGGCTTGGAAGAAACATGAGCTTGACGGACACAAGGACACCTGCGGGACCGGATAGCGCTGGAGAAACAAGCTTTCAACACGTTTAGGGCAAAATTCTAATGTACGGCGGAGCTTCTCGCCAGGGTCGCCCTGGCTCAGCTCAGCCCCTCTCAGGCCTGTCCCCAGCGTGCGACCTTCCGGTCTCAAAGCCCTGCGGGTCACAAACCCGAAGTCCATCCCCCGCGCCTCCCACCGCTGCAGAGCAAGTTGGCCACGCCCCTCCTCCCACGCCCCCATCCTCGGCCAAGGGCCCTAATGTCGCCAGACCTTTGTTTGTTTGTTTATTTATTTATTTATTTATTTCCAGGCCCGGGTCCGCGGCCTCCGTCGCCCAGAGCGCGCACGCAGGCGTGGGACACGCACGGCACGCACGGGAAGGCGGACGCTCCCGGCTGCGGGCCTCTTTGCCCGGGTCTCGCGGTCTCGCGGTCTCGCGAGAGTTGGGAGTAAACAGCCCCGAATGGAGGACCTCAGCGTGTTCGCTGCTGAGGTGCCCTTATCCCGGGGCCGCCAGACCCGAGCTTGAGGCGGTCCAGGTACGTCAGCCGCCCGCACACTCGGGCTGCCCAGCCGCCGCTCCTCCCATCTGCCTGGCTGCCCGTGCCCTCCGGGGTGTCGTTCGTACTCGAGGCCCCGAGGCCGGGCGCCGCGCGAGACGAGGGGCCGCGCGGGCCGGGCCGGGTCCTGGGTCCCTTAGCTGCTGCGGCCGGCGTCGCGGCGCCCGGTTCCCGCGGGCAGCCGGCCGGGCCCCGTTCTCGGTCCCTGCGCTGCTGTGGCCGGCGTCGCGGCGCCTGGTTCCCTCGGGCAGCCGGCCGGGCCGCGCGGGGCAGATGAGCGTTAGCGCGCCGGGGTCCAGCAGTGCGTCCTGGGACCTCGCGCGTCAGCCTGCTCCGCGGCTTACGGGATGCCCGTCCTGCCGGCCCGCTCTGTGGGTTGGCACGGTTTGGTAGCTTGCTCGGTTTCATTATTTTCTTTATGTGAAATAAAGGTTTACGGAGAGAAGTAATATGCCCGAGTCTGGCTTTGAGCCTAGGCAAACATGTAATTCTAGGTGTGCTTCCAGGGAAGTCCAGGTATCAGATTTTGAGTGGCCTCAGTTCTTTGCCATATCTCAACCTGTGCGTACTGCCCTACTGATTCTATTTAAATGCAGTTTAGGAAACCTGTGGACAAGTTGGGCACTTGATAATGTTCCGGCGAACTCTCAGAGCCGGAACGCCTTTTAAAACTATATAGGATCTTAAAATCTTGGCATGGTTGTGCTGCTGTAGAGCGTCAGCATTTCTATACAGACGTTCAACCCCTTGTTTTGGATAGAGCCCCTGGCAATCTTAACCTGTTTATCTACATGCTTTAAGTTAAATATTTACATTTTCTTTAGGTTCTAAGTGATACTTCCAGTGAGACCTCAAGAGTTCAGTTCCGGAGACTAACCCTGTAGTCTTCACTGTGCTAGTAAGTCTAACTTCTAGGTTTCAGTTTCATAAAAAGGGCTTGGAGAAGAGCGGTAATTCTTACCAACTTTTCTTTCAAATTTTCGGTACCCTTTTAAATATTTTTTTATGTGACAGCTTCTTTAAGATAGAATTTTTGTACTATAAAATTCATTTGCTTTAAGTGTACTATGCAGTGTTTTTTTGGTAAATGTACAGAGTTATGCATTCCTCACTGCAGTCATTTTTAGAATGTTTCCATCACCCCAAGAAGACTCCTGGTGCCTGCTTGCAGTCAATACCCATTTCCAGCCCCAGCCCAGGTAACCACTAATCTACTTTGTGTCTTTAGATTTGTTTTTTCTCAGTATTTCAAATGGAATCAGACGTGTGCGGCTTCTTTCACTACCATGTTTTCAAGGTTTTATCTGCATTGTATCATGAATCAGTATTTCTTTCCTTTTTGTGGCTGAACATCTATTGTATGGATGTATGAAATTTTGTATTACCATTCACGTAGAACACTTTTTGCAAGTAAAATTTTATATTAGGTTCCAGCATATAATGCAGGTGTCAGAAGAGCTGTTTATTGAGGGCAGGCGGTGCAGCCCCAGCCAGACTCTTGCCCATTAGGTCTCTACTGCACTCCTCACGCATCTCATGTAGTCAAGAGTTGGCCATTTCTGTGTAAAAAGGGACTTTTTTATGCGTTGCTTGTAGAAGCTTGGACACACCTAGAGATGAAGCAGGATCTCTTCTGGTCAAGAGGTTTTTAACATTTCCCTTCAAATTCGGTCTCTCAAATATGTTCCTTGATTCTTTTTTCTACTAGTCTATTGGTAGATGGTTCTTGCCTATTGCTGCCTTATTTATGTGGCAGCCACAATAAGTACTACTAATAATTAGAATAAGAAAACTTAGGAAACCTGAAGGCTAAAGTAAACTGTACATTGTTCTTATTTGTGCAGCAGAAATCGATTTGACAAAATGATTTAAAGTAAAATGAGAAAGGTATGAAGTTTGGAGGTGCCTTGTGTGGCCAGCTGATACTAGATGAGTAAAGAATAAGGGACGTGGACAAGGGGATAGTAGCGACATGTGCAAAAGAGCAGGCACCACAGATTTTGGGGGGGGGGGTCTTACCCTGCTTGTTAGATTTTGAGTAAAAGTGTGTGATCTAGTCTGGTGAAAAAACAAAACAACCCTCCAAAACACCATTGCAGACCAA